GAGCTCACCCATGGTTGATTATCTGCGTAATCTCAGTCGATAGTTTTGAAACGGAAGAATAAAGCAGGATATACGTAGGAGAAAACATGTACCTGGAAGAAACCCCATTCCTTGCATGCATGATGCAACTGCTCCAATTCCTCATCAGAAGATAACTTTTGCATATCTAAAACAGGAACTTGTGGCGACGGGTTTGTGCGAGGTACGATGGGGGAGTCTTCATCGGTACATGCGTATTGAGGTGGACGTTTTAGCAATGGCTTCTTTGCTAACTCTTGGACACTAGGCACCAACAATGACCTCCCTAGCTTTGGTGCCTCTGATTTCATTTTCTTAAGCTTTGAGGATGATTTGCAACCTCTGAATTTAGAGTATGCGGTGCCTAATAAATACACGTTTACACAAATTATACTTCTTCTTGTCTTCTGCAATGATTTGTTATGTTTGGCCCATTCAAACAATCACCTTTTACAAAATTCTATAAAAACCCAAAATCAAAAATTACATAATTATTGAATAATTAAATATACTCATGTTTCCTTATATTATATGAATTCGAATTTCAATAAATATGTCGTATGAATATAATTATCACTCAACTTAATAAAAGAAACACAATTAGCTACAAAGCAAAGCCAATATACAATGTTTTACAGAGAAGAACAGCTGGTTTAGCAGATAGGGAGTTCTTCTCATCACTAACAAGTGTTTTGAATCAGCAGCTTCTATTAATGGTGATGATCAGGCTGATGATGATGAAGTCTCAATTGCCACAAGATTTGGAGGAATTGGAGCCAGAGAGGATTGTTTAGATTTCAATTATAAGAATAAGTGGTTAACTCCAACGAACATGGTGGGGAAATTCTGTAGGGAGGAAATCATACAATGAGATTATATCAAATATAATCTCAGAATTATTCATTATTAGGTCGAAACTCCAATTTAATATCCCTAGCGTTTATTTTGTATTGTTTTCCTCATTTTCAACTCTCAAGACATCCAAATAGGATTTTCCACTGAGCTCACGTGAGAAAAGACCTTTGAGTAATCAGCAACGCCTAGTCTCCTGAACAGTGGTGGAGTTTGTGGAGAAATCAGGCTTGGTGCCGGCCCCATTTCTCCATCCAATTTCGGGCTGTAGAAGGTAGCCACTGATACCCTTTCTTTAACTGAGTTCACCGCCGCACGATGCTCAATGCTTGGGTAAATCCCGTTGGATACTATCTGCAAAACTCAAACCACCAAATTTATTCATCTCTTGATCATATGGAGTAGAAAATGACACAAATAAATTAATAATTACCTCCATAATGTCTCCGATATTGATCACAAAAGCATCTGGAAGTGGTTTGATCGGAACACAAACTCCATTTTTCCTTACCTGAAGACCTTCCATCTCGTTGATCTGGAGTAGAATGGTGAGGCCGACAGCATCAGAATGAGAGTTGAGACCAATTGCAAGCTCTGGTTCTGGACACGGGGGATAATAGTTCATCCTCATCCCTTGGTGCCCTTCTTCAAACAACACTCTCATGTCATTACAGTCCATCCTTAAAGCTTTTGCCATAAGTTCCAATAGTTTCATGGCAAGATTTTTCAGTTCTACAGAATAAGCTTCCAAGGTTTCTCTCAAGGACAGGAACAGTAAATTTAGCCCATCAATGTAAAGGATAGTGATAAATCGTTGACAGATGCAGATCAAAAGAACCTGAAGGGTAATGGAAGATTGGGAAATAAGTGAGGTTTTCTCAAATATGTAGGGAGGGTGATCATGTAGAACATATCTCCCCAGTTAAGTTTCTGCTCCTCGGACACAACAAAAGCCTGTCAAATCCCTCCACTCATCTGGTTTTTGCCAAATCTTCTTCTTCTCTTCCATTGGAAGATTGAAAAACTGTTGGGTCTCCATCTTCATTTTTTCCAACAATGAAGAGCTTACCCCATGGTTGATTAACTGCAACCAAAACAGTTCCATCTTTTAATCTCTCATGCAATCCTGTCAAATGTCAATCTACTTTTATCTTAAAACATGGAAGTAAATGAGTACCTGGAAAAAACCCCATTCTCTGCATGCAAAATGCAACTGCTCCAGTTCTTGTTGGGAAAATAAGTTTTGCATATCAATAACCAGAATTTGTGGCGAAGGATTTGTGGGAGATACAATGGGGGAGTCTTCATCAGTACGTACGTATCGAGGTGGAACTTGTTTCAATGGCTTCTTTGTTAACTCTTGGACGCACGGCACCAAGAGTGAGCTCCCTATCATCGGTGCCTCTGATTTCATAGCTTTAATGGTGGCTTTGCTACCTCTCCAAATAATCTAAATTTAAAGACAATTAATATGTGTGTGTGTGCGTGTGTTGAAAAGTAGAAGATACTTCATTGGATAGTCAGCCACATACGTAGAATATTGTGCCAAAGGTGCAGACAGAGCAAAGCAGAAACAAGACAGCAAAGGGATTACAAGACCAAAACACGACAATAACAGGGAAGAAGTAACATCAAAAGTGATAATGGATGTATTCAACTGGAACACGACAATAAGGAAGTATTCAACTGGAACAATCTGAATTGAGCCGCTAACACTGAAAAAGATGACCGAGAAAGTGTTGGACGGTAATCCTATCGTTTTTCAATAACTTTAACACTAGAGCACAAAAACTAAGAAATTGACTTGTGTTCTTCAATTTTACGGTTAAATACTTGATGGAGCTTGATGCATTTTACATACAAGTTAAAAGATTATATTCCCGACTCAGAAAACAGCAAACTCGAAAAAATGAACTCAGTAAACTTAGAACCAAGAGAAAAAGTCAATACCAGCATTTTGCGAGTACATCAACTAAACTGCAGCTTCTCAGAAATACAAGTATTGTCAAACACCACTCATTGTATATTCAAATGGTTATTTCGATCTTTAATTTAAATGAATTTGTTAAAATTGAATTAATCAAATTTTTTAATTATTAATTGAATCGATTTTTTTTAAAATATTATTAATTGAACTGAACAAAGTTCGATTAATTCCGTCGGGATTGAATTAACTAATTTTTTTAAATGTAGTTATATTAATTTGAATTTAATATATATATATATATATATTCATTTAAGTTAAATTTTGATTGTGACTTAACAGTTTAATGGGTCTAGTGCAACTAAAAAAAATATTTAGGCTTAACCTTATATAATAATTTAATATTTAATACTTTCGATCAATTTTCTTTGTTACAGTTACCATATTTCTTTTGTGTCAAGGGCAGTGGTGGCGGCTTTGTTCGGCCACTCCCCTACCTTTTCTGTCATTTTTTTTAATTGATAGTTGTTCGATTTTATTAATTTTTAATTGTATTTTATTGTATTTATAATGTTTTCTTTTGGTATTTTCTCTAGTAAAGTATATTAGGATCATCCAGCTCAGTTGGTAGAGCACAAGGTTCTTAACCTTGAGGTCGTGGGATCGAGTCCCACGGAGGGTATTTCATAATTCGGAGGTCTCTTACGGAAGCTGCTCTCAACCTGGTGTTGGGGGTAGCCTACTATCTTACCTCCCCCTTACCCCATACATATTGGAAAAAAGGGACAGCCATTTGTGACTTCAAACTCCCGGTACATATTTCTTCTATTGGTCCTCTTCTTGGACTATGTTTCTATAAGTTTTCTTAGTTGTTTGCTTTCCTAATGCGTGGCCGTTTATATGTAACATTTCGTTGGTTTTCGTATATATGTATCGGATAAAATTAATGTTAAGAGGAGATTAGTTTTTCATTCGTCTGCTTTGGATATTCTTTAAATTCTCCTCCTCTATATATTGTATTCAGGGATGTCATAATTATGTCGTTGCCTCAACAATTTTCGCTTTTACTCATTAGACTATCATTAATAGTTTGTCATTATATTTTGCTCATATTTATCATGAATGTATATATGATATTGTTTAATAATAATAATAAAAAATTCTAACCTAATCATAACAGGAAAAGAAAAAAAAACCTGTCTCTTTGATTGTTTGATTTCAATTTTAAAATATATCAACTTACATGAAGTGACATTTACCAAACTAAGATACGCTAATTTCGAATCTAAAGAGTCAATAAAATATAGAGAAATCTATAATAATTTCATGCCTATTTTATTTTATAATTCTTTTAGAAAAAGTATTTAAATACATGTCACTTGTAAGAATATAATGTAAGAAAGTAACTTTAAAATAAAAATGATAATGTTGACTGTTATAAATAAAATGATATGATTACAGATAAATTAATTTTAATTAATATAATCATAAAAGCAAACGTTATATCTAAAATTAATATTTTTAAATTTTATATACTTAAAATATACAAAAGAAAACTTAAATATCATTTATCGTTTTTAATAATATTCATCATAAAAGTAAATGTTACATTTAATCTTAAGGATGATGATTGATGTGTATAAAGGGGGAAACAAGATAGTATCTATTAATAATTATCAAAGCAAGTTGATGTACAATAATATTATGATATGACATATAATCGTTGTTTAACATGAAGACTTGATATATACTCATCATATTTTCGCATTAATTTAATTCTCAAAGTTGTTTAATTGCATCATTATATATCTTACTTCTAATTTAAAATCCTAAATCGTAATCTGATAACTTGTAAACACTAAACCCTAAATATTAATCTATACCTTAAAACTCTCAATTTAGGGTTTTAAGTGAAGGATAAGGTATAAAATGATGTAATGGAGCAACTTCGATGACTAAATTAATATGAAAATACGATATGAAAAAAATGATAAATTGGGTATACTACAGGTACAAAAATTATATTTTTACCTGAAAAATAAAGATCATAATTAAAAAACATGTATAATTAACTTTTATAGTATTTGAATTATCAAAATTATTGAACATAATAATAAAAATATACTAAAAATTAATATTTTAATAATATTAAAAGAAAATACCACACATAATTTAACAAAAGTGATACATATTGTGGTTCATAATGTTATTTCGTTTTGATTTGCTCCTCATCTTGAACTCTCAAGACGTCCACATAGGATTTTCCATGGAGCTCACGGGAGAAATAACCTTTGAAGTAATCGGCAACGCCTGTTCTCTTGAACAGCGGCGGAGTTTGTGGAGAAATCAGGCTTGGGGCCGGACCCATTTCTCCATCCAATTTCGGGCTGTAGAATGCAGCAACTGATATCCTTTCTTTAACTGAGTTCACCGTCGCACGATGCTCAACGCTTCGGTAAATCCCGTTGGATACAATCTGCAAAGTCAAAACACCAAATCCTATTCATCTGCTCACCATATAGAGCTGGTGGATGTAAGTTAAAAATTACCTCCATAATGTCTCCGATGTTGATGACAAAAGCATTTGGAAGTGGTTTAATGGGAACCCAAACCCCATCTTTCCTTATCTGCAGACCTTCCACCTCATTGATCTGGAGTAGAATGGCGAGGCCGATAGCATCAGAATGAGAGTTGAGACCAATTGCAAGCTCTGGTTCTGGACATGGTGGATAATAATTCATCCTCATCGCTTGGTGTCCTTCTTCAAACAACACTCTCATGTCATTAGAGTCCATTCCTAAAGCTTTTGCCATAAGTTCCAATAGTTTCATGGCAAGATTTCTCAGTTCCACAGAGTAAGCTTCCAAGGTTTCCCTGCAATCAAAAGTATTTAAGAAATATGAAAAGAGAAGAAGAATAAATTTACTACAGATAGAGAAACCTGAAGGTGAGTGGGAGATTAGGGAATAAGTGAGGTTTTCTGAGATAAGTTGGAAGGGTGATCATGTAGAACATATCAGCCCAGTTAAGCTTCTGATCTTCAGAAAAAACAAAAGCCTGCCCGAATCCCTCTAATTCATCTGGTCTTTGCCAAAGCTTCTTCTTCTCTTCCATTGGAAGATTGAAAAGGTGTTGGGTCTCCGTCTTCATTTTCTCCACCAATGAAGAGCTCACCCCATGGTTGATTAACTGCAAGTTCCATCTTTTTAATCTCATACAAGCCTGAAAGGAAATCTCAAGGTGCAGATAGGTAGGAGAAAACATGTGTACCTGGAAGAAACCCCATTCTGTGCATGCATGGTGCAACGGCTGCAGTTCATGTTGGGAGAGTAAGGTTTGCATATCTAAAACAGGAACTTGTGGCGACGAATTAGTGTGAGATAAGATGGGAGAGTCTTCATCGGTACGTACGTATTGAGGTGGGAGTCTTAGCAATGGCTTCTTTGCTAACTCTTGGACACTAGGCACCAACAGTGACCTCCCTAGCTTTGGCGCCTCTGATTCCATTTTTCTTAGGCTTTTCAACATGATTTTGCTGCTTGTCTCTCCAAAATTTGAAGAGATAACAGCTGCTGTACACACGTTTTTTTAGATTAGTTAACTTTTAATTTTTATTATTTGAAAAGTTAACAGGTTCTGTACACACGTTTCTTTTAACTGGTATTGTACCGGCAAAACTTTTAAGATAATGTTCTCGAATTTTTTATTTAACGATATAACGTACTCCCAAGATTAATTGTTCAAATAGGACGAATTGCACAGTGTTGGCCGTAGGTCGCTATACTTTCCGGGCGACCTACGGCGTGGCAGCTTCCCAGCATAGGTCGCCATGCCCTCGGGTGACCTTGTAGGTCGCCATGCACGCCAGGCGACATGGTAGGTCGCCATGCACGCTGGGCGACCTTGTCATGCGCCTTGCTCCTCGCTGCATGCTCGCCTGCTCCCCACTGCATGCAGGCGACCTCTTCCGATGTGCATGGCGCATGCAAAGCTTCATCCTCTCACCACAGCTCGTAGCAAAGCTTCATCCTCTCGCCACAATTCGTATAGAACACTTTTGTCGTGATTTCATTGCTGCATGCATGAGGGAGACAGGGGTGAGGGAGGCAGAGCCACCTTTGTCGTGATTTCAACAGAATCACGGAGGAGTTCGAGCCACTTGCATGGCGACCTACAAGGTCGCACCGAGTGTATGGCAACCTATGATCTCGTTTGGCTTGCATGGCGACCAATCCATGCACTGTATAATTCACATCATTTGAATAATTATTTCTTGGACAGCATTATCACGTGAATTGTTTTTTTTCACAGCAATATCTCGTGAGTTTTGCCATATTGTACCTTATATATTTACTTATTCATATATTAACTGTAAGGAAAATAAGATTTCTAATAACTTAATAGAATTTTAAACTAAAAATGTTTTTTTATAAGTTTTATGATCTATTCCATCCAAAAAGTTAACATTCTTTTTATAAGTTTAATCCTATCACATTTAGGGTGTGTTTGGTTCACGAAATATAAGATTATCAGTTGGAATAAAAGATTACCGGAGAATATGATTACTGGAAATATTCCTGTAAGGAAAATAATATTTATAACAACATTAATGTTATATTTTGTGTTTGGTTCGTTCAGCAAGAATGTAAGATTACAGTGTTTGGTTAAAAGAATAAAAGATTATTAGAATGTATATTTTACCAAATTATTCTTATTATATATTTGTTTTTTTAACAAGTTGAATTCTACTATAATATTACTATAATTAATTTATATATTTTCTTTAAAAAATTTAAATTCATAAAATTTAAATAATTTTTTTTTACAAAATTGAAAAGATAAATAAGTTTAATGAAAGGGTAAAATTTTATTTTAACCCCTGAACTTCATATAAAATTTTAATTATGAACTTTTTTTTTTGTAAATCTAAAATAGTTTAAGGATAAATTTATAATTTAAACTTAGTAGAATTTTTATTATTTAACGACAGAAGAAGAATATTTTTGAAAAAAAAATAAGGGCATTTTAGTTCAAAACGCCGATAATCCAAAAATACTTAAGGGAAGAGAATAATCACATTCCCGGTAATATACCCTAAAAAATCCACTGTTGGGAATAAAATATTATCGGGAAATAGGATTACTCACCAACCAAACGGAGGAATGACATTCCATTCCCCTGGTAATCCCATATGCCGTGAAAGAAAACGCCCTTAGACTTTTCAAGTATTTTTTGAAATAAGCATATATATCAGTAGTCACCTAAGAAGCATAAGTAAAACCATAACTTTCTTGAGGATGAACAATGATGTTGAAATTCCCCCAAGAACCCATGGTTTATACCTACATATGACTCAAATTCACTGAGTGCAACCATAATCTTCTTCTGTTAATTGCATCATTGTAACCGCACGCAGCTGACATGAAAAAAATATTTACCAGGAAAATGAGCTTTGCATACCCCATTTTTTTTTTAAAATTAATTTTTGAATTTTGAATTTTTTAATTTTTAAATCATCTATCGACCAAAACCGATCTTTAATTCCATAAATGTTTATGTTTGATCTCCTCAAATTTTTACATGTTTCAAGGCTTGTAGATAGGAACAGTTAAGGTTTTGATTTCTTAAACCCCATTTAACCTAAAGTTATTATCTTCAAAAAGGCTATTGACAGTGTATTGGATAAAGTTATAAAATATAATTTGTTAATGTAAGATTAAAAAATGTCAAAATTCAACCGAAAATCTTATTAAGAGCCTAATTTTTTTAGGTTGGATAAAGTAATATTTCGGTTGTAATGAAAAACATTACCTTTCTTGTAATATTTTTGACTATAAACCCTAAACCCTTATAATGTAACTTTTTGGTTGCAACTGAAAATATTACAAATTTATATGATTTTTTAGGTTGAATATGATAATATTTTACGTTGAAACCGTCTTAAATTAGTCTTAAATTAAACTTTGACACAACAAAACTATTCTCTTGTGTATTGGGATATTTAGTTAGGTACATAAAAGATCAATTTCTAATTAAAGGAGAAAGGTTGCTTGATAGTTATGGAGGACCATATCCAAGCTGCCATTCCCTACCATGTTATGTCAAAAGAGGAGAAAAACAGCCCACGTAAAACTCGTTTCTATTTTTAGTGTGAACTACGAGCGATTTAGTTTATCTAGTCAACGATTAATGTCATCAAATTAGATAAAACTATTCACATCAAATATATAAGGATGATGCATTAAGACTATTTTGCGAATACCATAAGCTCTATGTAATGGGTAACGTAGCATTTCTTGAATATCAGTCACTGTCAGTGGGGATGGATAGCACATGCACCCCATGGCCATGGCGCAGAAGAAAAGGAAGGACAAAAGTTGATGACAATGGAAAGGCCTCACAAAAGATGTGTAAGTTCCCTAAACTCATATTAATGAATTTGGTTCCCCGTCCCTCTCCATTTCAATTAAAGATGACAGAAAAGATAATCCCTACACACCCACCACATTTACTTGATTCTTTTAAATCTCTACTTGGACACTTGTATTGGACCGCTCACATGCAACCATCTTATAACCCTCCAATTCTGTAAACATAGGATCCAACCACCGGTAGCCATGGACTGGTACTCCTGGTTATCCAGAACTGGCCTCGAGCCCTCACTTGTCTATAAGTATGCCCTTGCCTTTTCTGGGAATGAGCTCGAACGAGAGGATTTACCGTACTTCAACCATGAGTTTCTTCAGAGCATGGGCATTTCCGTTGCCAAACACAGGCTGGAGATTCTCAAGCTCGCTTGGAAAGAAGTTAGGGAAGCCCCTAATGGTTTGTCCAAGCTCGTCTTGGCAATCATCAAAACAAGAGAGTGCTTCAACAAGTATGTTAACAAGTTGGTTCACCATGACAACAACATGACGAAAAAGGCGCTGCAGCTGCCGGCACCGGAGCCGGTTTCGTATAAAGATAAGTGGAGAGAAGCATTGTGCAAGAACAACAAGGAGCTGAAGATTGAACATCCGCTGCAGAAAACCGGGACAATAGCGAAATCAGGTCCCTTGGATTATAGAGGACAAGAGAAGTTGCTGGTGACTCCTAGGAGCTTGAAATTATCAGGGCCACTGGATAGGAAATTGCAGGAGAGGTTGGTGTTCAGCTATAAGAGCCCCATCATATCTGGTTCTGTTGATGTTGCAATGGCGCAAGAGAGGTTGATGGATACAAATAGGAGCCCGAGCCCGAAGGTCCATGGTGACAGCAACAAGGACAAGGCTGGTAGTGGGGACTTGGATGAACATACATTTTGGGAAACACTGTTTCAGGACATGAAACCTACTTGATTTACACATGTATATTTTCTGTGCTTTGGTGTCTGCAAAGGTGAGAGATATGGTCATACAGAAGGTTCTTCTACAGTTTTCTTACCATCAATATGCATGCCATTTTTACATTTTTTTGGAGTTCAACTCATCGAAAATTTTCTATAATTATATAAACTTGAATATCTATGGTTTGCTTGAGATGTAATCTTTCAAATGGGCAACTTTCTGTCTTTCATGCTTGTTTGATGTATACATTTGTGTTGAATGAATAAGAGGAAAAGGAAGAGAGAATACCTAAATTGTTTACCAAATTTGAGTTTGCAATTGCTGAGGACCTGATCTCCTTCAATCAAGGATGGAACTAGGGATGGGCATGGATCGGGTTTGGGCCAACCCGACCTAAAAATATATATATCCAAATCTGACCCGATTTTTTGAGATAAAATCCGAACCTTATTTGATTCGAAATAATAAAAAAACAGTATTTTATTCGATAAAAACAATGATTTAATTAAAATCAAATATCAAGACTTTTTGTTGGTATAATTGTCATCAAGGTCCTCCATTTCATGGCTGACCTGCTCTTTATCTTTTAACAAGCATGATGTTGATAAGAAAAAAGCAGGGAAACGAAATGGAAATTTCTGACTTCCCCCCCCCCCTTTCTTTTTCTTGCTTCTTTCAGCTCCTCAGCAAGTTGTTGAGCGTTTGCAGAGTAACAAAGAGGCAAGAAAATAACAAAAACAAACAAAGAAGTGAGAGAATCCGAAGGGAAATAATGGAGTGGGGAGAAATTATTGAAATATATTGCTATTATATTATTTGTTCTGTACTGAATATCATATTATATGTATTTTTATATACTATAATATAAATGGATCAAAATATTGATGAGATGAGAATTCCAAATTCTCCGTACCATAGCGCGGCTGAAAATCACTCAGTCGGAAAGTTTTACAATGCGATGTTTTAATATACTGTTAAAAAAATATGTTATCGGTTTTGTTATTATTTTAAATAATAAAATTAATAAAAATAGTCGAAAATATTATTATTTTTACTAATTTTGTTATTATTATTAATTACCGAGATAAATAAAAGCGGTAGAAAAAACCGCTAAAAATAATATTTTCGATGAAACGCTATTTAAAACATTATTTTTTTACCGAGTTTTTTTTCGAGTTTACCTATATCGAAAGAAATAATAATATTTTCGATCATTTTTATCGATTTTATTATTTAAATAATAATAAAACCGATATATTCTTTTAACCGTATGTTAAAGTTACCGTTCATGAATATTTCCTGATTCAGTTGGTATGGTTGGGTTTCTTTCTTAAAGCTGTTTGTAATATTTTTATTCTGCCTTTTAAATATCTATTCTTTATACTTTCAAGAAAAAATAGGCTAAGGATTAAAAACTCCTATTTTAAAAAATATATATTAAATTATTTGAATTCTTCTCATTCAATTGAACTTTTAAACTTATAAAATTAATTGATCGACTTTTCCACTAATAAAAATTATCGTTAATAATTATAATACTAATGTAATATACACTTATATATATAAAGAAACACATGATATTATGTTAAAATACGAATTTTTAAAATTTTAAAAAATAATAAATTTATAAAATTTTAGGTGACGAAAATAAATTATTCATAAAAATATAAAAAAAAAATCTAATAATATATAACAATTTAAAATTTTCATAATACGACTATTCTTGCGGATTCTCCATCAATCTCTTCTCATTTGATAATTGTTTTTTTTTTTTTTTTGGAATTGAAAGGAGCCTAAGCAAGAACATTAGGCATGCCTCAAACGGGCATAAGGAGGACCTAAGGTATCACGATTAAGAAGAGCGAGCATCGAATCCGGGGTTGGGTTGCAAAGGGTCAGCTGGTCCGAACCATTGTTAGACAATCTTAAAAAGAAAAAACAGCTATCATGTTCGCTTCGTGTTGAATAAGCAGAAAATCAACCATCCATGCTCGATCCAAAAGTCTTAGCAATTTCACGAGCCAAAAAGTAGAGGTTGTCTGAGGAAGCATTTGTAACTAAATTGAAGGCATCCGAGCTATCAATTTATATGTGAATAATATCACAAACAAAAATTCTATACGCTCGCCAGGTGTGGACGAGCATCGTTAACGATGAATATCATTAAATTAATTTATAAAAACTTTAAATTATAAAGTATTAAACATATAATTATACATTAGTTAAAAATCTAAATATAATTTAATTAAAATACAATATTTATAAAGCATTAGTTTTTAGTGTAAATTATATTATTGACTACCTAACTATTTACACTTTTACTTTAACCACCGATTTTTTAATATTGTCAATTGGTTTATGTGACTATTTAAATATTAACGAATGATATGATGTGGCAGTTAATTTTTTTTGTATAATTACACATTTAGTCCTCATTACTTACATATTCTATTAATTTGATCTTAACTTTTAATTAATTCAATAAATTTAATCGTCAATCAAATGGTGACATGTGCCACTATGTGATTGATTTTTTTCGTAATATTTTATTTAATTTAATAGATTTTCCATATAATCAAAATCAAATGGTGTCACGTGCCACCAATAGAATGAATAAAAAATAAATTGAATCAATAACATTTGTTGGTGGGATTTGAACCCAAGACGTGAGGAGAGGAAGCAAATGCCGATTTGATTGAATGATGCTCATTAATTTAACGTTTTATAAATTAATTTAATGATATTATTATTAGCAGTGCTCATCGTTCTCGTCGAACGTAACAACATCATCCTTTCACAAATATGTTCGGCTAAACTTTTTAAAATTTTAAAAATTTTATTGAATTTTCTAATAAAATTTAAAGATTGATCTAATCCCTAATAAAAAACAAAAAATATTTTAAAACATTAAATTATATAAAAAAAATAAAAAAATAATAAAATTCCTTACACTTCAATACTATAAATCATCATATCAACACTATAAATTATCATATCCACGTTATAATAATTAATGACGATTTTTTATCAATTAAAAGGTTGCATTAATTTTTTTTTCAAGTGTTTGTTGTAATTTGACAAAATCCGAACATTAAAACACTTTCAGCAACAGATTCTTCAGGGGGGGGGGGGAATAAGGATCATGATATAACATGGGTTTGCTGTAATTTGACAAAATCCGAACATTAAAAGTAAAACGTACGAAAACTGAATTTAACGTCTTCTCCATATGTTCCTACAACCTCGGACTACGAAGTATAAACACTTACACCTTACATTCCAGTGAAAGCTTTCTTTCCTCCACCAGAAGATCCAGCAGGAATCATTTTCAGAACATTGAATCTCACAGTCTTTGACAACGGCCTGAAATTAGAAAACGAAGCATGCAAATTACAAACAACAAAAATTACCTACAAACTAACTGGAACAATGACTTGATTCATAGACAATAGAGATAGGATGGTTCTGTTTAGGAGTTTAACCTGCATTGCCCGATAATGACGTGATCCCCTTCCTTCACGCGGAAGCATGGGGAAATATGTGCAGGTATGTTTGAATGTCTTTTCTCATACCTAGAAATAGAATAAGGAAATGTTTCTTCAGAACTAAAAGCAGATAAGAAACTCTCAAGGGGAAATAGAGCAAAATGAAGCTGGACCATGCCTTTGGTACTTCTTGATAAAATGAAGGTAATTCCGTCGAACGATGATGGTCCGTACCATCTTGGCACTGTGGCAAGTACCAGCTAAGATACGACCCCTGATGGAAACAGTACCGGTGAATGGGCATTTCTTGTCGATGTAGGTTCCTTCAAGGAAAAAACAAATACACAAACATCATTTAACCGAATATCAAATGCATAGAAACACACATTCTACATTTCCCTTACAAAAATCTCGCTCTGGGTGTTAATAGATTGAAGTAAATCATCCTTTATTTCTTATAAAACACATTGAAACATATACATGGGTAAATGATATAGATAAAGCAATTATTAATAAAGATGATATTTAAGATACTTGATGTAAGTTACCAATTCACACTTAAAGCTTATGAAGAATTTGCATACAGTGACCATTCATACCGCCAAAAGCACATATTTGAATAGACATACACAAAGAAGAAAACAAACCTTCAATGGCTTCACGGGGAGTCTTGAAGCCCAAACCGATGCTCTTCCAGTAGCGGTTCCCTCCCTTTCCCGGTCTCTTCCCTTTCCCAGATTTCTTCGAGCTGAAAAAAGAGACATTCATTAAAACCCATCTAAATCCAAAAAAACCAAATCCGAAAAAGTAAGAAAGTGAAAGCATTTTCATGGTTTAGTATTAAGATCACCTTAAAAACACTTTCGGTTGCTTCAGGAAAGCCTTCTCTGTCTGCAATCAAAAGAAGAAGAAAAATGAGAATCAAAGAATATAAAAGAGAAACGAGGGGGAGTAGATCGGCGTGTGCACCTGCTCGGCCATGTTTATGAGCACTGCTTCTTCTTCTGCTGCTGCTGCTGCTGCCGCCGCCGCTGAAATGAGGGAGGTTTGCTTCTGCTAAGAGAAAACCCTAACCTATCTAATAGACCCGGCTTCACAATGGATGAGTTTGGGTCAGCTAATCGAATTGGGCCATTTACGATTCTACCCACAAATTAATTAAATAATATATAAAATTAAAATGTTGAAATTAAATACAACAGTAATATAATAAATGGAATTTAGGTCCACTCATAATATATTTTATATCATTGTGTTAATTATATTATATGGTGGTATTGTATTAATTATAATATATATGATAGTAATCCATTTATTATAATATATTAATTATCAATAATAAAAAATATAATCAATATTTGATCAAAGTAGCGGTTATGGCAGTCAACCCTTCAGAGAATCTCGCCTCCCCTGCTGTCATGGATCAATTCAGCGACCATGGTGGTCGGCCTCCTGATGGCGGAATCGGAATGACGGACCCACCTCTTCAATACCCTCCCGATCATCCCGGCGTTAACGGAGTTGATTCCCCCTTGGGTGATCCTGTGGATGTTAGATCGAAGAACATGGAGAACGGAATTGGAACGCTCAATAGCGGTCATCCTTCTTTTAGTGATATAGTAAGGGGTCCAAATCTAATTGGTAACCAACCCATTTCGATTAATGATTTCGATGTGAATATTCGCCCTGAGGATGTAGTTTTGGGTGTTGATGGCCAGCTGCCTGCTATTAGTTTTTCCGATAGAGTTCACGATGCTATTGATGTCAAACTGTCTAATTTTGTGGTTATTCGCTTACTGGGGAAAACAATTGGGTATAAGACCTTGCTGAATAAGATCAAATCACTATGGAATCTTTTAGGGGAAATTAGCCTCATTGATCTTGACAATGATTATTATCTTGTTCGCTTTGCTTGTGAGGAGGATTTTTCTCATGTATTGACAGGAGGTCCTTGGATGATATATGGAAGTTATCTCACCGTTCAACCGTAGAGTAGACAATTCTCTACCGCCATGGAATATCCAATGAAAATTATGGTGTGGGTGAGGCTACCAGGTTTACCCTATCGCTATTATACACGTAGTCTCTTTGGACATATTGCAGGAGCTATCGGTAAGGTGGTAAGGGTCGACTATAATACGGAAGAAGGGAAGAGAGGTCGCTTTGCACGACTCGCGGTTGTTGTTGATTTGGACAAACCACTGATCTCTGGAATAGTGATAGACGGTCATCGACAGCTAATCGAATATGAATGATTACCAACTATTTGTTATTCTTGTGGAAAGTATGGACACACACATGAACATTGTGGTAAAACAGCTAATGTTGATAATGGTGAAGTAAAAGAAGCACAAAATATTGGGAAACCCGATGATCTGTATGGTCCCTGGATGCAAGTGGTGAATAGGAGAAGGAAGAACACTGGGGTCAAAAGGAATGCAAGCTCGGATTCAGGGAGACAAAACAATGCTCATAATTCAGGTTCTCGCTTTGAGGCCCTTCAGGAAATTCAAGTTGGAGATAATCCAGGAAGTAACCCGATACAAAAGCCATCTATGTTGGGGACTAATAATAAGGGAGCGATGTCTTCTTCTGGCCATTTATATGCCAAGACAAGTAGTAGTGTTGAATCTAACAAACAAGGGGAAGCAAGACGAATTTCTAAAGACTTTACTGAACCAAAAAGAAGTGATGTATCGGGTCCACAACGAACGAAAAATAGTATTGTTGTAGCTTCAATAGGCAAGATTACAAGTGTTGATTCATCCCTGAATAAAGACAAACATGTGGCTATAAGGGTGACGGAAAATGATGAGAACTTAGCCCCACAGGATCATAACTTAGGCATTTTCCAAAGAACTGCTCGAGGGACCAATATAAAAGTCCAAAATCAAGGGCTTGTTGCCGTTAAAGGTTTATCTCGTAAGGGATTGAAGACAAGGAAAAAAGATACGAAGATGCCGAGCAAACCAGTGTTAGCTGAATGGATTTCGGCTATAGACTCTGAACTTAACCGAACAAGTATTACGTTGGAGAATCCATCCACAGAAATCCAAGGTTCAAAAGATGGTGACGGTGATATGGTCCAATGGCGTTCGAACACTATGTTCGAACAGTCAGAGAAAGCAAATATGCACGTCTAATCCTTCATGTCATCTTCTTTCCCCTTTTCTTATGGTTAAGGTTATTTTTTGGAATGTTCAGGGAGCTCAGGACCCTGATTTCAATAGATATTTTAAGTTATTGATGAAGTCTAAAAGACCAGATGTTGTTGCTATTTTGGAACCAATAATTAGTGGTATTGATGCTGATCAGTTTATAAAGAACTCGGGTTTTGAGTTCTCCTATCGTGTTGAAGCTTCGGGGTTTTCTGGTGGCATATGGATACTTTGGAAGAATTCTTTTCATATTACTATCCTGGCTGTTTCACGACAATATATTCATGCAGCGTGTTCAATGATGGATGGAGAAAAACAATGCTTTATTACGTTTGTTTATGCTAGTCCTGCAATTGGGATTAGAAATAGGTTGTGGAGGTATTTGAAAGAATTGGATCCAGGTTCGGGGTTGCCGTGGTTATTTGGTGGGGATTTTAATGTTATTAGTAATTATGGTGAACGACAAGGTGGTTCTCAACGGCGCCATGGAGTTTGCGTAAAATTTGGTGAATTTATGTTTGATACAGGGTTGATTAATATGGGGTTTTTAGATCCAAAGTTCACTTAGAAATGTGGAACCCTTTCTCAAAGGCTGGATAGGTGTATTTGCAATGTTGAGTGGTATGATTACTTTGAAAATTCTGAAGTCTTTCACCTCCAAAAATTGGGTTCGGATCATCGACCCATTCTTCTTAAGTCTGGGGAGCAGCAGGAGGCTTCCAATAATCGACCTTTCCGATACATTGATGCTTGGAGTGATCACCCATATTTCCAAAACTTACTGATGAATTCTTGGAAAACTGATAGAGACTTGTACGAGAATATACTTGAATTGCAAGCTCAAAGTACCAAGTGGAATAAAGAGGTGTTTGGGCATATTGGGAGGTGTAAGAATTTGTTGCTTGCTCGAATCCATGAAGTTGAAAAAGCAGTGGATAATTCCAATGATCATGCTCTACTAGATCTAGAGACGAGGCTTAAAAAGGAGTTGAACGTAGTTCTCGCTCAAGAAGAAAGCTTGTAGAACCAAAAAGCTATAACCACTTGGATCGCGAATGGGGATATGAATACCTCTTTATTTCATGCATCGACTATTAACCGTCGGAAGCACAACACAATTAGTATATTGAAGTTTCCTGATGGTTCTTGGTGTAGTGACCATGTGCGTCTCAAAGATCATGCAATTAATTTTTTCCAGAAACTATTTACGAGCGAGCGAAGGATGCCTATTATTGATATTGGGAGGGGCAATTTCTTTCGTTATGGGGATGATGCTCTTCGGCCGTTGGTGTGTGATATTTCATTGGAAGAGGTTAGAAGTGTTATCCTTAGTATGGCTCCCTTGAAAGCCCCAGGCGCGGATGGAATCCATGCAACGTTTTTTCAGAAGAATTAGAACACAATTGGTGGGTCGGTTTTTTGATTTATCGATCAATTTTTCAAAAGATGATATCTAGCTGATTGGGTGAATCAGATCTGTTGGTGTTGATCCCGAAGATTAATAATCCTGTCTCAATTACTCAGTTTAGGCCTATTAGTCTGTGTAATGTTCTCTATAAGACCATTACTAAATTGATTGTATGTCTTTTGAAACCGTTTCTTCCTAAATGGGTGGACGAAAGTCAAGCTAGTATTGTTCCAGGCCGCCAGATTACAGATAACATTATTCTTGCCCAGGAGGTTATTCATTCGATGACAAAGAAGAAAGGTAGAATAGGATGGATGACAATCAAGGTGGATTTGGATAAGGCTTATGATCGCCTGGAATGGAATTATATCGAGAACACTCTTCATGCAATTGGCTTACCGGAAGTATTCATTTCTCGTATCATGTGTTGTGTTAGATCTGTGTCAACACAGATTCTATGGAATGGGGATCTTACAGATCCCTTTAAGCCTATGAGGGGTATTCGACAGGGGGATCCACTATCGCCTTATTTGTTTGTCTTATGTATGGAGAAACTGTCTCAAGCTATAAAGGTGAAAGTAGGTTCGGATGACTGGAAGGAGATTCATCTCTCAAAGGAGGGGCATGGGTTATCCCATCTCTTCTTCGCAGACGATTTAGTGTTGTTTGCTAAAGCATCATTGGATCAAGTTTCGATAATCAAGGGTGTTTTGGACATGTTTTGTGATGAATCAGGACACCGCATTAGCTTAGCTAAAACTCAGATTTTCTTTTCAAGTAACTGTCCAGTAAGCACTCGTCAGGCTATTTCTCAAAGTTTCGGATTTGAGGAGGTTCAGGATCTTGGCAAATATTTGGGTGTCCCTTTACTCCATAATAGAGTCACTAAAGCCACATACTCTTATCTCATTGATAGATTGAATCAACGACTGTCGGGTTGGGCGGCGAAATGTCTTACTTTAGCAGGTCGTATAACACTTGCTAAGGCTACACTTCAGGTTATCCCGGTCTATGTGATGCAATCAACTTGGATGCCGAAAAGTTTGTGTATTGAAGTGAAAAAGATTATTCGAAGATTTGTTTGGGGCTCGAATAATGGTTGTACTGGTATTCCCCTGGTTAAATGGGAATCTATGCAGCAGCCAATAAAATTTGGAGGTGTGGGTATTCGGAATCTATATAATCAAAACAAGGCATTCTTGATGAAGGTGGGTTTCCAATTGATAACCAATCCGGAGAAACTTTGGGTTCGCACTCTTCGTGGAAAATATAAATGGGACAGTCTTGTTCCTGTTTCATTAAATCATACTAATGGCTCCCGCTTGTGGAAAGGATTACGATACATTTGGAGTGAGTTGTACGATAATATCGCTTGGAATATACGGGATGGGCGAGATACAGATTTTTGGTATGATCATTGGCAATAGTAAGGAACATCCTCTATGGAGTTTGATTTGGAAGCTATAAGTTCCACAAAGAATTCATACTTTTCTTTGGCTATTATTCTATGATCGAATTCTTACCAATACTGAACGATCTCGTCGACACCTTTCTAGCCTAGTGGATTGTAAGATTTGTGGGGCTGTTAGGGAGGATGCTGACCATATTTTGCGTCATTGCAGTATGGCTATGAATCTGTGGGTAAGGGTTATCAAGCCTGAGAAGCTTAATGAGTTCTGGGCTCTTTCTTATAAGATTTGGATTAAACGTAACTTAAGGGCTACTGAAGTGTATGCACGAATGAATGATAATTGGGATATTCGCTTCTCTGTTTACTGTTGGCACCTTTGGAAACGAAGATGTAGTATTCTCTCTTATCCAAATTATGTGGAAAGAGAGGAGTTTATTTATCGTTGCGATCGCTTTGTTGATGATATTGTGATTGCTAAGGTTAGCACCACTAATTATAGTCCATCGATATCTAGAAGTATTTTGTCTTGGATCCAGCCTCTCACAGGTTGGATTAAGGGAAATTCGGATGGGGCTGTAAGAACGTGTGATAATATGGCGGTTGCAGGAGGTGTTCTGCGCAACTCTGAGGGAGAATGGATTTTTGGTTTCACGCGTAGCCTAGGAAGGTGTTTGATTCTTACCGCTGAGTTGTGGGGTATTCATGATCTCTTGTTGCATGCTTGGAGGCTAGGAATTCGAAAAATTGAACTGGAAACCGATAACCTAGAGGTTATGAAGATCTGTACTTTTTCTTCGGCTGCGCTTGTGGGGAGTGCTTTGGTTACTAAAATCCATGAGCTGCTCGAACATGAGTGGATCATAAAGGTATCACATGTATTTAGGGAGCAAAATATGGTTGCAGATAGGCTGGCTGCTTTGAGTCGAGGAACCCCCATTGCTGCTACTGTTTTCTTAGAGCCACCTTCGGAGTTATCTTCCACGCTGCTGCGAGATCTTCAAACCTCCAGCTAATTCTTGTCTTATTATTATATCAAAAAAATAATAAAAAATATATTACAACTTTCTAACGGTAAATAAGCTCAGGTTGAAACTAGTTTAATTAATTTGTGATTAAAAAATGATTTTATTTTGTTTGTAGTTCATTTTATATGTTAATACTTATTAAATAGATATCTCAATTAATTCGATTTGATAAAAAAGAAAGTTATTCCCTTTAAAAAGATCATAATCGAATAACTATTTTACATGATATATATGTATTTTTAATCGTTCAATTGTTTTTGAACAGATATCATGTTATAATAATTGATCAGCTACCACCTTACTATTGAATTGGATTAGAGAAGAAAATTTAGATAAAACTTAATAAATTTTAAATCATGTGATTAAATTGATTTTTTCTTAAAAATAAATTCTCTTGAAATGAATGTAAATCATATATTAAAAAAATATTAACAATAGAAGCAATACATATATTTTATTTCACTTAAAGTACATACACATACTCTTACCAATACCCATTTATATATATATATATATATATATATATATATATACTCTCACATATATGCTAACACTTCATCTACATGACAACATGATACGCCCTAGTAATAACATCTGCGTCCCATATCAGTCGAAACGTTTGAAGTCGAATCTTTTATATTATCACACAACAGCCTTGCTCCGGTGGCCGATGGCCATCTGGACGCGGTGAAGGTGGACCTTGGTGGTGGTGAGGAGGAGGAGGAGCTGGAGCTTGTGGTGCATATGCGGGTACTGGAAGTGGTGGTCGACCTTGGTGATACTGGTGCTTATAGTGAGGATGTTCAGGACTCGTTGGTACATGTGGAGGAGGCGGCCCTGGGTGCGGATGTTGTGGTACATGCGGAGGAGGCGGCCCAGGGTGTGGTTGAGGAGGTCCAGGTGGCGGTCCTGGATGTGGATGATGCGCTTGGTGGGTCGGTGGAGGCGGAGGATAGTCCATCTCCCTGCTATATTACCTAATTTATGCACATCAAATTGTTCAAGCCAATTCTTAATAATTTATCATTCTTTAATTAATAAACAAATATAACATTTTAAAATAATATAAAAACTATTCGTGGCTATAAAGAAAGAAACGTGTAAGTTTGTGAATGAAAAGGGATAAGGCAACAGTGAATTGTGTGCCAAAAAGTCATTGTCGTTTTAGAAATAGTCATCAACGACCCTCCAATGCCTGCGTTTGCTCAATTTTACACGTGATCCTCCGATTGGTTCCACCTGTCTTTCACTGCACATCAAGCAATCAATACATACATATATATGTATTATAAAGGATAAATTACATAAGATGTCGTTAAATTTTAAGTAATATATCGTTTATAATATTAAACTTTCAATTGCTTCAATTATAACACTTAATATTCATTTTGGACTAAATTATAACATTGTGCCGTTAAATTTCAATAACATAACGACGTTGATGGATCTTTATGTTATTTTGATGACGTAGATAAAATGATTTTGTTTTGGCGTATCCTGATGCCCAAAATAACATTGTTTCATTGAACTTTGGGTGTGTATCGATTTTATCATTAAACTTTAAAAATGTTTTAACTTTAAGTGGAGAATTTTTTGACCGTCGTTGATAGTTAATCGCCATTCGTCATCAATCGCCATTTGCAACAAGATCGATATCAAAATGTTTATGTTTCCATCCTCTTTCTTATCATCTAATTGATTTTCCACGAAATCCACATAAAATTGATAAAAATTAATCTAAAGGTTTGACATGTTAATACTATGATCTTCTTTGTTGGTCGTTTGATGAGGCTAATTTTATGGCATGTTATTCTTCTTCTTGAAATAATACTCCTCACCGTTCAAAATTTTGAAGAAAATAAAATAAAATCCCTTAAATCCAAGAAGACCATTAATCCTAAAAAATTATAATTTTTTTGTTTAATTTCATTGATTCTGGGTGGATTTCATAAAAAAAAATCATATGAGGATAATTAGGAATGAAATACAAACATTTTAATATTGATTTTATGAAGTATGATAATTCATTGCCAGCTGTGGTTGGAAAGTCCAAAGCCTAAAAGTGATATGTTTAAAAGTTTAATGACAAAATTAATGCACCCTAAAAGTTTAGTACCTAAAACGATTTCGTTTCAGGTATCAATAATCACACTAAAATAATGTTGTTTTGTTCATGTCATCATGTTATTTGATTTAACGATAAAACATTACAATTGAAGTCAAAAACAAAGTTCAATGTTATAATTAAAACAATTGAAAGTTAAACAGTCTGAAAGATACACTACCCGAATTTAAATGGTAATTGTGCACTTTACCCTATGACAAAATACAACAATAACTAAAAACAAAACTTCAAAATGGGGATAAAGTATATAAAAAATCATATTCAAATAGTTCTTTTAGTCATAATACTTTCAAATATTATAAAAGGATCATTAGATTTTATCAAATCATTATAAAAATTTATAAAAAAATTATCAAATTATTCTAAATAGTTATCCAATTTATTATAATAAATAATAAATTTTATTTTATTATAGTAATTTGATAATTTTAATAACTATTTTATATTATTTAAAAATTCAATGATTAAAATGAGAACAATTCATTGATACACTGTACCCTTCAAAATTTTTATTTTTACATTATAATAAAATAGTAAAAAACATTATCACCTAATCTAATTAAAATGGGAAATGGCTATTCTGGTGATTTGAAATCCATGGTGTAAAACAAAAAGTCCAAAAACACAGACGCTCCTCTGTCTTTCAAACTAGACCCAGTTTTCTGCCTTTCTTCTTTCCCATTCATACGTAAGCCTGCACATGTAATTAATTTCTAAAGTATTTCCCTTAAAAAAAAGATTTTGCAAACATTTAATTGAGTCTTCTCCTTCTATCTTCATTTATTGACTTGCACTTGGAGGGAAAATAAGAGAGGTTCTTTTCCCCAAAAAAGCTTTTGAAGTAGGAGGCTTGGAAAGAAGGGGTTGGGATGGGGTTATGTGGCAGCCGATTTGGGTCGAACCCATCACGGGGGAGACTCAACCACCGTCCCAAACGGCGTTCCAGAATCTCTTCGTTTTTCATCTGCGCTGGCTCTTCTTCTCATGCTCCTCTTGATGTAATTAGCCATGAACAGTTTGGTCCTTTCTAATTTCTATTGCCTTATTTGGTTGATGAATGATTTTGGTATAATATTGATTCTGGGCTTCTTAATCATAAAGTCAATGCCCCGTTTCTTGTCTTTTCTTAATTTTCTATGCCCATTAAACATTTTTGCAATCTGGTTTAGGCTTAATTCGTATAGAAAACTATTTCGTCTTCTTTTTGGGCTTTAATTCAAGCTTGAGATATATTATTTGTAGATTATTGATTCTTATGCTGCTCAATTAATAAGCCAGATGCTCCTTTATTGATTTTTATTCCCTTTGATCATTTTTATTATTATTTTGTCTGAGAGTTGCTCCGTTCTGTTTAAGGATTCCAACTTTTAGTGGCTGCTTCATTTTAAATAGTGCTTTAATTGATGTTGTATTGATCATTCTGAAAGACAAGAAATTTTCTTTCTGTATTACTGCAGTAGGTTCAATAATGTATTCACCGATAGCTTCATAATGGAAAATGATCTTAAGGAAACATGAAGAACCTGGTTCCTTGCAGGATTTGATTCTCATGCTGTATCAGACTTTAGCACTGATTAGAGAATGTTTACTGGTTCTTGCAGCCACCTTGTCCCAAAGTATAAGCTTGTCTGGTTGCTGTCCCGTGAAATGTGCTCATTCAACTGTTCCCTTCCCATGTAGCTCCTTAAGAAGAAAATAAAACCAAACTTCCCGTGCTTGCAAATTTTGAAGTCAGTGTAATGTGCCAATAAGTTCTTTTTCTCCGAGTTAAAGAGAAATTTCGGATTCACTTATATTTGCTTGGTCAGTTGAGAGTGTATAATTTATTTGAAGGGAAGAACCAAAAAAGAAGTGTGTTGTTCTTTTGCAGTATATCACGCTGAATGGTTTGTAGGTTTGTAAAGTAAGAGCACTCTAGCTTAAATTAGCAACACAAATTCTTGGAGGCGGACATTAGTTTAGCAAGTTTTCTTGGTTAGATGCTTAGATTGTTTTTCAGATGTTTTTGGTACCTTTTCTTTTTTATTTAAAATAAACAATAAAACTTTGAATTTTGAATATGTTCGTGTCAAGTTAAAATTTGATTAAGTAGCTTCACCTTTTAGCTTTCCTCTCGGTTCCAAGATGTAGACAGGAGGCAGCACAGAAGCTTCTTCGTGGCAGTGGTTGAGCATTTCATAATCTTTGCTCCAAACCCGGGTCACCAAGAGAGTTCTATGAAGTCTTCAGGGTACAAGAGTCTAGAGAATTCTAATTATGTTAGCACCAACAGATGTCTCTTGGATTACATGTTCATGAACAAGTTTATGTCTTGGAAGTTATCTTGTCCTTCCTCTATTTAGATTGTAACCATGTTATTTTACATGGAAGCTCTAGAATATGCATCAGGCAATGATACAATACATTCTTTTGATGTAGAGGGAAGCTTATCCAACTGGAATCCTAGTGAAGTCAGCAGAACACTGTGACCCGGTTACCAACATTGTCCGAAGTCCATTGGAGGAATCTGCTCTGATATGCAGTACGGGAACAAGATTTAGCAGCATTGACACTGAAATTGGAATTCCAGCTGAAAGCAGTACTGCAGCCAGTGAGGATTCATCTGTTGAAGGTGATTCTAGAGATGTAGAAACAAGTAACTGTAGGAAATGCTTGACTGAAAATGCAGAGTTAGTTGCTCCTCAGGTAAGTGGCGAATCTTGTAGTAGTAGTACCTCAGCTAGCACTCCCTTATCAGAACAAGAGTCTTCGAACTCTGTCTCAGTAAATCTTTCGAATAATGAGGAAGCAGTCAGATCTGATGCAAACAATGTTGCATCTCAGATGCGTCCTGAGTCAAGTATTTTATCTCCTCGAGGTCTTGAAGACTCACATTCGCGTAGGATATTTGTTGAGAATCAGTTGGGTGAAGTAACAACAGCCCATGACTCTGGTTCTGCTTCTGCTTCTCATGCCTCAGAACCAGAGAGTTCTCACATATTAGGCGGTGAATCCATTCTAGAGACAATGCCTTCAGGTTTAGGATTTATCGTATCCAATAGGGAAAGGGGCCAAGGAGATGGAAGTGTTCTTCATGTTGATCTTCGGAGTCTCTCTTCCAATATTTTATCTGGTGGCAGTGCTGAAACTAGCAATCGTGAAGCCAGGAGGAACAACAGAAGATTGTTCTCAGATGCTTTCTCAAGACGTAGTTTTAGAAGAATTGATAATTCCCCATCCATTTTTCTTTCGATGGATGATGATAATGATACAGGGTTTGATAACAGATGGCTCATTGATTTCAATGGTGATTTGCTTTATGAAGGAGCTCAAGGTGATTCTGGTTACCTCAGAAGTAGAATTCATAGATTGAATGAACGACGACGACGACACTCGAGATTAGAGGTAGTTAATTGTAAAGCACTTTGAATTTTGAAGTTTATTAAACTTGCTTTTGGTAGAGATATATATATAAGAAATTGCTTTAGGTAGCTAGATTTCTTTTGAAAATTATTTTGACTCCATTATTCCTGGATGTTGGGGTTTATAGTCTCCTGTCCCTTTTTTTTGTTAGAGCATCTGTTGAATCTTTTTATGCATCTATGAAGGTTTTTAATCATTCTAATCATTTCACAGAATTTATCGAATTCTCTTTAGCATTTGGGCATTGAAGACAGTACACACACACACACGTGTATATAATGTGTGTACCAAAGTTGGGGTGGTTATTCCTGGATGTTGGGGTTTATAGTCTCCTGTCCCTTTTTTTTGTTAGAGCATCTGTTGAATCTTTTTATGCATCTATGAAGGTTTTTAATCATTCTAATCATTTCACAGAATTTATCGAATTCTCTTTAGCATTTGGGCATTGAAGACAGTACACACACACACACGTGTATATAATGTGTGTACCAAAGTTGGGGTGGCCGCAGATAAGGCAATATCTGCCCCTCTGCTCCAATGCTATGCCTAGTTTCCTTAGGTAACTTATATAAATTATCTCCTTTGACTATTTTCAGATCTGGGAAAGGCTACGTGGTGGAAATGATGAAAATAGTCGGCCAACTACATTCTGTCCTTCTGGAATCCACCCTGATGGCACTTGCTCCTGTGATTCTTACTTGAGGACTGATGAGCCAAGTGCTCGTGTAAGCATATCACGAATAGTAATGCTTGCTGAGGCTCTATTTGAGGTAGTTTTTCTTTACCAACTTCCATGTTCTACCTGTCTAATGTCAAACCACATTGTTTCTGTCATTATGTCTACTGTCCTTGCTGCATGAGATGTTGATATTCTTTTCCAAATCGTAATTTGTAGGTTTTGCATCGTCAACCAGTAGCACTTTCCCTATCCATGGTATCACCACCAGCTCCTGAATCTGTAGTAGATTCTTTCCCTCTCAGAAGTCACCCAAAAGTGAATGCAGCTGAATGTATGGATGCTGTTGAACAGTAAGTTCTTTCTTTGGACTTGTAGATTGAAGGTGCATGTCAATTTGCTCCTGAAAGAGTATAGGCAAGGGAGTGGTTAAATTCAGTTTCGCCTTTCTTTTAATAGCTATGTGTCTTTGTTTATCATATGTAGAATACATTATTTTATTTATATTTGCATTGTTTCTTCTGATCGTAGGTGTCATATATGCTTGGCTGAATATGAGGAAGGGGACCAAATAAGAGTTCTGCCTTGCCAGCACGAGTTTCACATGGCTTGCGTGGATAAATGGCTCAAAGAAATACACGGGTACTGTTACTACTAACCCTATGCTTCCCCTACACCGTGCATTTTCTCTTTTGGGAACTTACCTCTCTTTTGCTCTGGTTTACAGGGTGTGTCCACTTTGCAGAGGCGATGTTCGTAATGGTGGGGAGTCCTATGCGTCAAACCCTGAGATTCCATCTCTTTGATCAAACTGTACACGTGTAAGTATAGTATTGAATCCTTGTACAAATCTATACAATGTTGTAACGTCTTATCTCCTCATAGCAGCCTATATGGAATTAGAAAATGGGATATTCACAAATTGAGCATGTTGCCGGTTATTTGTTCTATTTGACTGGTCATCGATGCTTGTTATGGCATGGATGTTGGTATAATCAATCATGATTCAGGAATGCACGAAGGTATGCAGTTAAGATACATAAACACCACAGATTATAAAGAACAGTTTCTTCTTTAACAGTACATTCATTGGTGGTACATCTTAAAACATCAGAAATGGTTGCAAATGTCTAAATAGCAAAACAAGATAATACAAATAAATGGTATAACATAGCACTTGCTCGGTTGGTTTTTCACCTAATACAGCAAAGAAGAGCCAAAAGGCTTTCTGATCTTGGAAGAAAGCTGATTCTGGATAATTTTTGAAGCCCTTGGTAGTGCCACCACTAGTGTTATTATCAAATAGATTTGGGTGACGGTTCTCATTATCATCATCAAAAGTTGTCCATCGCATTGAGTTGTTCTTGTGCTTCTGTCTGGTAATATTTCTCATGTTCTCCATCTCCCCTACATGCTCCTTGTATTCTTTCTTCACGACATCTAGTACAACTTCTCCATATCTATCACATCATGACCTTGAAAATCGGAAAAAAGAGTAATTCTTATGTAAGCTAATAGAAATGAAGAATTTTCAGCATCCTTACTTGGGGAAGAACTTTTTGAGGTCAGTCTTGTCCACAGGAAGAATTGTTAGAAATTGCTTCAGTTTGATCATTCCTAGTGGAATTACAAGAATCAAACAACAAATTTGAGCAAATATGCAAAATAAGAGTTATCAGATTACTCCAAATGAAGATTTGTTGGAATGAAATTGCTTACGAAAACTTCAGATTCGGGTTGGTAGTGGAGAGCTCTGCTTGAATCCTTGATAGCTCCTTTATTTTGTCTCCTAAGACCTGCAAGTTCAACTCGGATACAAGTCAAGATTAGTACACACTTAATAGAACCTTTTTTCTTTTTTGCAACATTGAGATATGAACCTTATCAATGAAGAAATCTGATGGAGCTCCATCTGCAAGCAACTTCCTCTTAATCTGTTTTGTGTCCGGCCCCTCTCTGATCGGAGTTGAAACAAGCTGGCTGTTATAGACTGGATTTTTGTAGAGAAGAATGTCGAAAGAAAATAGGTTTTAGAAGAAGAATTGAGAGATTTCAGAAGAAGTTTGCATCATTCATTTTCTAAGAAAACTTTTTACAATCAAGCCTAGTATTATTTAATTACATAAGCCATAGAATTCCTGCCAGCTGTCCATTGTCATAACAACCATCTAACAAAATGATTCTTCTCTTTCTATTTTTTATCAGATACTGGGCCTTCGTGTTGGGCTGCTCCATCACGCCATTCCCTTCCAGGCCTGCTCCTCTGCTGTGTAAGTTTCCTGTGCATCTCACGTGTGATTTAATTCCCAATCCTATCTTCAATCCCTAACCCTCGATCCCCCTTTCCCAATTGCTCCTGCTTCCTCGTCTCTCTTCTTCGATGCTTCCTCTTCTCTCTTCTTCTTCTACCATAACAATACCCATCCCTCGAGACGAGCCTTGTCCCCAAGGATCGAACGCAGGAAACTGGCCTTTGAGAGTCGTATAATCCTCCCAAGTATCATTTTCTTCAGTCAGATTCTCCCAACGAACCAAAAGCTGAGTGACAGGTTTTCCCTTTCGATTTACGATTCGTCTTGCCATAATCTTCAAGGGTTTGATTTGTAACCCTCCTTCTTCATCTACTGTAGGAGGTTCAGTGACAGCAATCAATGAATCACCGATGAACTTCTTCAAAAGGCTCACATGGAAGACTGGATGCAAGCGAGAGGATTTCGGTAAGTCCAATCGATAAGCGACTTTTCCAATCTTTTCAATAATTTTATAAGGTCCATAATATTTTGCTGCTAATTTCAAATTCTTTCTCAGGGCAATAGATGTCTGTCGATAGGGTTGCAATTTCAGGTAGACCATATCTCCTACTTCAAAAACCCTTTCAGTTCTGTTTTTATCTTGTTGCTGCTTCATGCGATTACTTGCCATCTGCAATTGAGTTTGAATTAACTGTCTAGTAACTTCTCTGTTGTTCATGATTTCTGCAATAGTATGTACTGTAGACTCTGTAGGCCAAACCATAATAGGTGGTTTGTAGCCATATAAAGCCTGAAAAGGAGTTAACTTGAGGGCAGTATGATAAGTGGTATTGTACCACCATTCAGCATGTGATAGCCACTTAGTCCATTGCTTAGGTTTATAAAAACAAAATCCTCTCAAATACTGCTCCAAACACTGGTTAACTCTCTCTGTTTGACCATCTGTTTCTGGATGGTAAGCAGTGCTGAACACTGTCTTGGTGCCTAACTGTTTCATAAATTCCTTCCAAAATAAACTTGTGAAGGTCTTATCCCTATCAGAAATGGCCATTTTAGGTTGGCCATGTAGCTTGTACACATTGTCTAAGTAGAGCTTAGCCACCTCTGCTGCAGAATAAGGGTGAGCTAAAGGGAGAAAATGACTGTATTTGGTAAATTTATCTACTATTACCAAAATACAATTTTTCTTTAGTGAAGTAGGCAACCCTTCAATGAAATCCATAGAAATTATTTCCCAAGCCTGGTTAGGAATAGGTAGTGGCTGTAATAAACCAGGCTTTGCTAAATGCTCCACTTTAGTTTGCTGGCAAGTCTGGCAACATCTAACATAAGCAGCAACCATAGATTTAAGATTTGGCCAATAAAAATTAGACCTAATCTTATAATATGTAGCCTGAGCCCCGGAGTGTCCCCCTTGAGGAGAGTCATGTAAAGATTGTATAATCTGTAATCTAAGGCTTCCAGTAGATCCAATATAAACTCTCCCATCATATCTAAGAACAGCCTTAGAAAACTTCCACTTACTGTCAGCCATAGGAGTAATAGTCAGAATTGAAATCCAATTCTGAGCTAAAGAGTCACTCTTATAGCTTTCTTCAATCTCCTGAACCCAACTAGGTATCAAAACTGTCACTCCCATAGTCAAGCATTGAGCTTGATCCTCCCATCTTCTAGATAAAGCATCAGCAACTACATTTGATTTCCCCTTTCTATACTGAATTGTATAATCTAATCCCAATAACTTTGTCAACCATTTCTTTTGGATAGTTGTAGTTAACTTTTGCTCCAAAAGAAACTTTAGGGGCTCATGAACAGTCTTAATAATAAATGTTGCACTCTCCAAATAATGCCTCCATTTAGACACAGCCAAGAGAATAGCAAGATATTCTCTTTCATAAATAGATAATGCTGAGTGTCTAGGGCTTAGAGCTTTACTCAAATAAGCAAGAGGTCTTCCTTCCTGAGATAAAACAGCCCCTACACCTCCTGAGCTAGCATCTGTTTCTAAATAAAATGTTTTAGAAAAATCAGGCAATGCTAAAACTGGAGCAGAACACATAGCCTTCTTAAGATCTTCAAAAGCACTGTAAGCAGCAGAATTCCAGTGAAAACCATCCTTTTTTAACATCTGTGTTAATGGTTTGCTAATAATACCATAGTGCCTAATAAATCTTCTGTAATATCCAGTTAGACCTAGAAACCCTCTGAGAGATTTAAGGGTTTTAGGCTGAGGCCAATTCTGCATAACTTCCACTTTGCTAGGATCAGTAGACACTCCTGCAGCAGAGATAATATGACCAAGATATTCCACTGTAGTCTGGCCAAAAAAACACTTAGATAACTTTGCAAATAATTGGTTCACCTTCAAAACTTCCAAAACAAGCCTCAAATGTTCAACATGTTGTTGCATACTGCTGCTATAAATCAAAATATCATCAAAGAAGACTAAAACAAATTTTCTAAGAAAAGAACTGAACAACTCATTCATGAGAGCCTGAAATGTAGCAGGTGCATTAGTAAGGCCAAAAGGCATTACCTTAAACTCATAATGCCCTTGATGAGTTCTAAAGGCAGTTTTGTAAATATCTTCTGGTTTAATTCTGATCTGCCAATAACCTGATCTCAAATCAATCTTAGAAAAGTAAACTGCCCCATTTAACTCATCCAATAAGTCTTCCACTATAGGAATAGGAAACTTATCTTTGATGGTCAAATGTTTAGTTGTCTGTAGTCAACACAAAACCTCCAAGTGCCATCCTTCTTTTTAATAAGAAGGCAGGGAGAGGCAAAAGGGCTCCTGCTTGGCTGAATGACAGAAGAAGAAAGCATAGCAGCTATCTGTTTTTCAACTTCAGTCTTCTGATTATGAGGAAATCTATAAGGCCGTAGATTAACAGGTGTGGCAGTAGGTATTAGTGGAATTGCATGGTCATGTGACCTCTGAGGAGGTAGGCCTTCTGGTTCAGCAAAAACCTTGCTGTATTTATCCAATATAGGTTGCAATTCTATAGGAACAGAAGAAGAGTGTCCTGTCATAGTCAATAGGATAATATGACCAATAATATCAGAATCCCTTGCACTCATTTTAAGCAAAGTAGCTCCTGATATTTGATATAATTCAGTAGAGGTTTGTTGACCCTGAATACAAATCTGTTCCCCTTCATGATCAAAACTTAGTGTCATATTATTAAAGTCCATCAAAATTGGACTGAATAACTTCATCCAATCAACTCCCAATACCATGTCACTGCCTCCCAATTTAAGTAATCTAAAATCATGGGAAAAAGTATGTCCTTGCATTTCCCATTTAACCTTGTTGCATCTAGCAGAACTGAACAACTGTTGGCCATTAGCCACAGTAATAGCCAAAGGATAAGCAGTATTAATCTGTATGCCAGCATCAGCCCATGTAGGAGTTAAAAAACTGTGTGTACTGCCACTGTCAATTAGGATATTCAATGGTTTTCCTGAATATTGCCCTGTATTCTCAATGTATTATGACCAATGCAGCCAGTAATAGCATTCATAGAAATTTCCAGATTTCCTCTTCTTGTT